AATAGGCGTCTCTTCCTCCATGCGCCTTCCTGACGGCGCGTGTGCCCCAAACAGAGGGAAACCGTACACTTGGAGCGGTGGTTTGGGGTTGGGAATCGGCGGAGGTCGCTTGTCAGTCCATGCTGCCCTGAAATCTTCGTTCAAGTTTTTCTGCAATCCTTCCTTCTCAGCCATCGGAAACAGATCCAAACTAGGTGTAAAGCTCTTAATTCCTTAAAGAACTCCCCACAGACGGCGCCAAATGATGGGTCTATTCTCGGATCTGGGGTGAACCGGTGGAAAATCGCCCGGATCTGGAATGAACCGATGAGAACGAGCTCAGATCTGTCTTGATGGTCTCCAAATTACTATCGAATCGTAAGAACACCTGCAAGAACTCAACGCCGGAGGGATTTCCGGCGTAGAGCCTCCGACGTTCAAGTCAGTATGTGAAAAGAGTGAAGAGAGCTGCTCTGAGTAAGCAGCAGCAATGGAGGAGAATATGGAATGAATGAGAGTTAGGGTTTTGGAGTTACCTCAGCTCCTTTATATATAGAAATGGAACATTTACCTGAAGTCCCCAAAATGCCCCGGCCGACTTATTGGAAATGTCCAAACTGCCCCGATCGGTTCGCATTCCGTCCATTTCCTAGTCAGCTTCTAGATCCTTCCTTATCCTTAGCTTCCCTTCGATATGCTGAAGTGTATCAGAGCTGTCGAGATTTATGGGCTTCCAGCCCTCTTCAGTCGACTTGATCCAATCGACTCGAGTCGACTGGGTCATACTCAATCGCTAATGGATCTTGATATGCTTTTGACCGTCGCTATGCAGGAAATCGACTTATACTTAGTCGACATATAGGAGTCGACCTGAGGGTATTTGGACCCCTAATTGGAGATATTTATAGGGAATATGATGAAGGAGTCGGCTTTGGCTAAGTCGACTCGGTAATTCTGGAACCCTTGATAGTGTAAACCGTTATACGACAGTATGGCTATATCAATGACTATCATGTGGCTATGGCTTGGGATCCTCGATATCAACTGGTAAGATAGTGACTTGGAAGATGGATGACCCCAAATTCAAGAGCTAGATACCAGCAAGGAAACGAGCAACTAGAAGACCTTAAGGATGATATAAGAATGACCAGTGAAGATGGCGCTCATCGCTATGAAGGATTCCTATCGACCTCCCACATCTCGAGGTCGATTTCACTCACCTCGCAGCTCGAGGAAGATAGAATGAAATCTTAAGCTGATTAGGATATGACTAAGAAGTGATTAAGATTTAGATAAGTATAAAAGTTCCGGGTAGCCGGGCAGGCTGACCGCGAGCACTCAGGTAGGGCACTCCGGGCAGGTATTTCTCCCATAAAAAGAGTTGAGGTATCATATATTAACAATTTTACATTCACTACACATTTCATACTGCTTTTCTTCACAGAGCATCACCATTCTCTAGGTAATGGCTCAAGCATCGGAAGCCCTTCGCCAGAAACCCTTTCGGTATTGGGTTTTTGCAGGCGTTCGTGACGATTAAGGCAGATCGGAACTCATTTCGATCGGTTCGATCCAGATCTAGGAGCAGACCCATCACATATATATACCAGTTTATTTGTAATAAAAATGAATAAAAAAATAATATATTTGATGTACAGTTAAATGGAGCGCAAAGGCTAGCAACGAAACTTGAATTTTAGGTTAATCTACTCTAGAGTGAAGCAGAGGGTTGGAGATTGTCTAAGCAATGAACAACATTGAGCACCACAACTTTCGTAATTGAAAGAAAATACATAATACATTGTATAAAGAAGAGATGAATGGGCTTAGCTAACCAGGACAATCAAAATAGTTAGTGTTCCCCAAAATTAAAATAATCAAAATGAAGAACCAAACGACAAACCAACAGCCTGTTCAACTTCTATAACCCAGAAACTAGAACATATTTACCTGTCAGAGTAATTTATTCAACCAAAAATGCAGAGCTCTACTCTTGTTTTTTTGGGCAAAATTAAACTTGTATGTATGCCACTAGTAATTTATCTACACTAACTATCTACCAATCTACCTATCCCCATTATCATGCACCTTCTTGCTATGCTTGCTCACGTGGCGCAGCCACCCAAATCCTTTAATGGCCTTTGAAATCTTGACAAGGTTAGGCCTCCCAATGCCCAGATTCATTTTCCCGGCCGACAACTTAACCGCCTGCAGACAGCACAACTGGCCATCAACAACATCGTCATCCTCGTCATCCTCATCCTCATGATCCTCAACAAACTCAATGCTGCTCGTCTTCTTACTCCTTTTCTTCTTAGGGTCGACTGACTTATTCGAATCCGTTTCGTACGCCTCCCACAACGAGTCCATGCCCTCTCCACCATCCACATTGTGCCGCTCCTCGAACAACTTGCAAGCCAGAGTCCTTCTCCACTCCTTTTCCTTTCTCATCGACCCAAAACTTCCAGAGTTGCTGTGGCCCCACGTCCTCAAGCTGTCGGCTTTCGGGATATGCTCCTTAGGCTCATTATTCTCATCACTTACATCACAACTCATCCTATGAGAATGACCTTTTACAACCGGAGGAGGATGATTTTGCCCTTTCCTGCCATCTTCGGAGTTGTCCATGGTAATGCTATTGTCTGTGGGGCCTTCTAAGGCCATTTTGAAGCCCATTTTTTTCTTTTCATCGGCGTTAGCAGTGGACATTTTCTCAAACTGTTGGAGTATCTTCAAGAAATTCTCCAACCTCCTTTCTTCCAAGGCGGGACATGAATTTTTTATTTGGAAAACAGGGTTTGGATTATTCTGCTCAATCATTTTAGCCTCGAAAACCCCTTTTTTCTGAGAAAAGCTCCGACATTTCACGCCCGATCCAGGACTTTCCTCTATTTTTTCTTCCGGAATCTTGGAGGGTTTCTCATTTTCCTCGAACAACAAACGCGTCCCGAACAGGACTTCGTATATTCCCAGATCGTCCGTGCCCTCAAACCCATCGCCCCCGAAATCATTCTCGGACAGAGGATCTCGCGAAACGGTGACGGAGATCTTTTCCTGGACAATGCCGGCGGCGACGGAAAGAAGGAAAGTCGTGAGAAAAAGAGGAGAGAGAAAGGAGACGAGTTTCAGAAGGTAAGGGGAGAAGAAAACGAAGTAGCAAAAGTAGAGAGGCTCAGAGAAAATGAAGTTACAGAAATTAACTAAGCCGGAAATTAATAGAGAAGAAAAATGGGCCTTCGAAAGGCACAACTCATCAGACATCGCTCTTGTTTTCTTCTTCTTCTTTGCCCTGATTCCTTATGAATGAAAGTAATAGTAGTACATAGGAAGGGGAAAAAAATGGCGAAAAATGAAGAAGAATGAGGAGAATCTCGTCGATTTTGCGATTAGTAATTGGGAGTGAAAGCGGCGTGATTAAGGGAATATAATTTACTGTACATTTTTATTTCTATCTTATCATTTGGCTTTTTCTTTTTCATCATTGTGTCCCCGAGGGAAGAGAATTTCGATGATCCACATTACTGTTCACTTGAAAGCTTTTGTCATAATTTTTTTTTTTTTTTTT